ATCCATAGCCGTTTGCAGTGTTTGGAAAGCATGTCTACGCACTACTAGTTAAAGACACTTGTGAGCTAATAACTACAACATTCCCCTCTGCCATTAATTTTAACTTAATTTGACATTCAACATTTACTAATTGCCAGACAAAGATTAGCATACAAGAGAGCTAAGTTGACTAACATTTGTATTAAAACATGTAAACGTGTGTTAAGATTTAGCCTTTGTTTTTCATTAGGAAGTGTGCATTTTTGTGGACTGGAAGGAGGAAAGAGGTTGCTGGCTGTCAAACAAGTTAGCCAATCACACTGTATACTGCTGCTTGCCTATTGCAAACTAGTTCTCATGATGCTAATTTTATCAATAAACTGTTCATAATTCCAGCAAATGTTACTATTTTTTACCCTAATGAGAAACGTATTGACCTGTTTTTCCTCAGAGTAATGCTCACAGTTCAAAAATTGAAACACTTCTTCAATACAAGAAACAAATTATCTTTGGATGCACCAATACCAATCCCAATTTACAGTGAGCCAGAGGATGGGGTGATGGTAACTCAGTAATTTTTGTGCATCATAACACTTTCCCCCAAAGCTAAAATCATAGTCTTATCATATGCCTTATCATAAAAAGAAAAGAGGAGAGATTATATTCTAAACAATTTATGTTTACTTTCAAAATGCAAACAAAACATAGGACAAATGGACATATCAATCAATGTAACTCATAAAAACCTAGACTCATCTGGGAGCTAAAGCTTCCCTGCCTCTGTTTCATTAAGTCGTTCACAGCTTCAATATTTCAAAAACAATTTGAGTGGGCTGCAAACTTATTTTAATTACTCTACTATATTGTAATAAATTGGAGACTTGCATTAACCCTTAAAAATCTTTGTTTGGCACCTCAGTTATTGGTTTCATGCTTATTTCTTTGCTTAGATTTAAAATATTTCAGCAGAGCAATTTTTTTTTAATCACAAAAACGTCACCATCTTTTAATGCAACTTAGTATCCTACTAAGTCCTCCCAGACTTTGGGTCACAAACTCACTTCCAGCTCTGCTCTGAAGGTTTTCTTCAGTGGTCTTGTTCTCACCTCCAGAGATTTAATTTTATGCACATCAATTCAATTTTGTAGTACAATCTAATTTTCTCTCTGGTTGAAAAGGATTATTGCTTTTTAAAAGTGTAAAAAGATACACTATTCAAATGATTTATCCAGCGGTATAACCCATTTCAAGAAAATTGCTAGGTTTTATTGTTAATTTCTTAGACATCAGTACTTTAAAAGAAGTTAACATTTTTAAACTAATTTTGTTCATGTTGATTAGGATAATCAAATATTATTTTATGCAAATTAGTAAACAATATTCTAAAATATATTTGCACACAGATTTATCACGTGATACAACTGCCGTCCAGACATGGAACTATTTCTGAACTCTAATATAAACTATTTGAGTTATTAAAACATTTATCCATTTCTTATCTAAATCATTTTTCTTTGATTTGGTACTTGGTAACATGAAGTGAATTTTTAAAGTGAAAGATGTTTGAAGGAATCTGAAATAATTAACAATTATTCATAACTCCCAATATTTTGAAACATTAAGGTAATTTGATAGTGTATTATATTGTGTAAAACATTATATTTTTCTAAATCCTGGAGAATTTGAAAGGTCAAGAAGGCAGCTTGTCCACCATTCTTTACTTGTTTCCTATTATTAACCACAAAACCATCGGTCCTTATTACAAAGTAATAGGGCTAGACAGATTTAAGCTTAAGGTCTAGCTAACATGGCCGTTATCCTTGAAAAACAAAGTTGTTCTGGGTGCTTTCATAAATTCAATGCATTTTGATAAGAAAAAAAACATTGGGTTTGATCTAAATTACTCATTAACATTTTTATCGAACTAGGATCACATTTTAAATCAGTTTTAGATCAATCATGTTCCGCTTTCAAGAAATGGCTAAAAGATAAAATATGGAAATCAAGACAATGCCTGAGCAATACAAAACAATTCAGCTTTAAAAAGGTTACCCACACCTTTTAAATTCTGCAAGCAAAGAAACCAATGTAGTGCAATTATGCTAGAAAAGCCATTGCTGCTTATAAAGCGTTGTGCAGCTGTTGGAGGAGAGGGTTACAGTGACAAACAGCTTCCCTGCTACAAAGGTGGCAGGAAATCTATCAAACTGGACAATAAAATTGCAATTGAGTTTCTTTGGCTTTTTATAGCAGCTGCATGTATCTTGATGTGTAGCTCTGCAAAACCTATCCAATTCTGCAACACTAGTCCTTTATATACTAGTTCTTTATCAAAGAATGGTGTTATAAATTAGTAGTAAGATGGCGCAAAGGACTGCAAAAGGGATAAAATAAGTAGCAATGCTATACAATTAGAGATGAAATAAACTCAAACTGGTTATTTTCTAAGCAATATTAAAGGACAAATTATTTCGTCCCTGTGATTTTAGGTTCAACTGTACTTTGAAAGCACACTAGAAATCAAACAAATCTATAACACATTTAGCATCCAGCAATATCCCCACTGAATTATTTCTATACAGCATTATAATGTCCTTTATTATAAGAACCAGCATAGTATGTATAAATGGCTTTTACAATAAGTACATGGGTATATTCAAAGCAAGTAAAATTTGGGAAACTTAATTCATTACCCATTAAATATCAACAACACAAACAAAATTATTTTTAAAGACAGTAGTAAATAATGAGTATGTGTCAGTATCAGGAGCTTTTACTGACATATGCTTACTTATATGTATTTAAATTAGACACATTTATGAGTCATCACCTCTTTCTTTTAACCATTACTTGCTATGTAAAATGCAACCATTACCTTTACCAAAAAAATTAATCTGAAAAATACAAATATGTAATCCTTTTAATTAAAAAAAAGCTTTAAATTATTGTAGCAGGATTCACACCAGCTTATTTTGGGATTTTGTTTCATTTGCTGGTTTTAGACATGCCTCATTTAATCTTTGGCAACATGCATGCTTACCATGAAAACAACTCTTTAGAAATAACCTTGACCAGACTCTCAGATCTTTTCAAATTCCTTCCAAATCAGAACTCCCTTCTGTCATTTCCACATACCGTGGTAATTATCACGCTCCAACAGACTCCAGTGTCACATGTATCAATGTCCCCCACACTGAAAAATGGCAGCAGGGCGCTTTAAACTAAAGCTCATTCAATGAGCTTAGTTCAAAGCGCCCTGCCGCCATTTTTCAGCGCAGGGACATTGATACATATGACATTCCAGGCACTTCTAATTAGCAACCCTCGCCTCACTCTTCCCCCAAGCACATTTATAAATGCCCTAAGAATGCAGCGTCATTTGCATCCTGAGTTCTTATTTTACAGTAATTTTATAACGCATTCAGAATTGAGTTTTGGACTATTTGGCCAACATGATCACCTAAAATCATCTGGGGGTTTTTTTATAAGCTCTGGATAATTTGATTAGGCATTAAAACTTTTATATAATAAGTAATTAGTGTCCACAAATCCATTGTAGTGCTTTGATTTAAAAGCTGTTAAGTGTGTGTGACTAAACCAACCATTCATTAGTAGTCACTGTACACTGAACTTTCCCATTTTTTAAAAATTGCCCAGACTTAACAAACAAACAACCAACCACACACACAAACACACACACACCCCTCTAAGAACAGAATAGTAACTTAAAAATCAAGTTGTTCAGAAAGTAAGGGTACCATGTCCCCCTGACATGCATCAGATACAGAGGTAAATTTATACCACTTTTCTACCCGGGGCAAGCAGGTGGCTGGGTCCCCAGCAAGTTACAACAGTCTCAGCACATTTAAATACATTAAGGGCCTTTTCCTTTGCCCTGGACAGTGTACAGGCCACCTCACTGACTCCCCTTCCCAGGCATCTTTGTGCAATTATAGAAGAGCCTTGGGATAAATTAAAATCTGTTTCAAAATTCTTTGCACCTGTAATTTGTCCATTTCAAGGCTTTTCTTTCATTGTTAGTAGGTCAACTTTTATATTTCTCTCAAGTAGCAACATACAATAGATGACTGATACATTACATAAGTCACTAATCAGTGATCTAGAAGATAAACAAGTACGCCTGTTGTGTTCTAAATTAATTGACATTTTTGTTAGGAAAAATTCACCCAGTATGAGGGGTCCACCTAAGGTCCGAACCATTCCAATAATGATAACTGTGATAACTTAAACTCACTGGCCTTTTAACTAGATTAATCATTTATTCTTGTATATACAATTAAATTAATCCTAGAGTAACCTTCTCCGAGATCACAGAATAGTAGCTCTATATCTTATGTTAGAGTCTTGCCTTTTCTTGATGGGAGCAAAGCAAATTATGTACCGCACCTTAACTGAAAGTCACTAGTAAAATCTCCCTTACTGTATAAATTTATGTTGTAACAAGGCAACACTCATGAAAAAATGGAGGCTGACATTTTATTCACACAGTAAGGATCTCCTCTTTCCAATCAACTAACACATTTTTAACAGACAGAACATCAACCTAAACTTTGATTTCCTTAGTTCTGCTGTTTGCTTCCCTGCTTGATGATTTAAGATATTTCTGTCTATGAATAGATAAGGTACGCCACCTTGTGTTTAAAAACGTCATGCTGTTAATGCATGGAAATCTAGCACTAAAACTCCAACAAAACACTCCTGAAAACTGATGAACTTAAGACAGTTAAAAACACTAGCTTACAGTTAAAATGAGTACCATCAAGCTGTGAGCAGCAAAAAATGATTTTGTGTTTCATGTGCTCTGACAGTCTCTCAGCTTCCAATATACAGTGAATAATGCACTGAAGTATATGCCATCAGCAATTCTTCTAACCAGTACATTTCTATTTAATCAGAATATTTACATTCAAAGGCATTGCTTGACTCAGCATTTAAATGCTCCTAATGACAGCAGACAATAAAACACAAATTTTCCAAAATATATTTCCTTAAACACTCACCTTTGAATGTGTGATTGAGAGCGTATCCACCCAAACACGCCAGCCACCCCACTCATATTTGATTGCATGATAAAGCAAGATTCGGAATATGGCATACACCATTTCAGTTATCTTCAGCTCTTCAGAGTTCTTAGGATTAAAATAGCAAAGGGAAAGCATCCCCTCCTGCCACACCGAGCACTGCAGCAAACTCCTGCAAAATGAATTTAAA